AGCCGCCCCCAGAGCAGCTCCCGGATCCCTCGGGGATCGCGGGGTCCCCCAGCACGGAGCCAGGACCCCCCTGGGACCCCCCAGCTGCCTCAGAGCGTCCCTTGGGGATCCCCGGGAGGGGCCAGAGCAGATCCCAGATCCCTCGGGGACCACTGGGTGCCCCAGCACGGACCCGCCTGCCGGGAGCTGCCGCCCCGGGATGCCCACGGGCCTTGGGGGAGCAGCTGCCTCCAGCACCCCGGGGACACCATCGCTCCGGGGCGGGGGGCACACCCGTGGGTGCCATCCCCAAGCCAGCGTGTCCCCACGAGCCGTGTCCTTGCGCAGGGGCGAGGTGGCGGCTCTCCTTCTCCATCCCCCGTGGCATCGCCCCGTCCCCGGCGGTGGCAGCCTTGGGGACAGCTCGCCGCAGGCCAGCGGGGAGAAGCGGGAGGCGAGAACCGGTCTGGCAGCCCCTGGTTTCGGCTAATTCCTCTGAAAGTCACCGTAGCCACGCTCCCGCCGGCTGCCCTTAACTCCTGTCTGCCCGAAACACGTGCCATGAGCCACCCCGGCACCCGCCGGTGACCTGCCCTCGAGGCCAGCGGGGCGGCGAGCCCGGCCCGGTGCCACGGTCAATGCCAGCACCCGAAGCCGGCACGGGCCGGCAGCCGCTGTTGGGGCTCAGCCCCGGGTTCCCCCGTCATGAATATTCAGCCGTGCCCTGGCCCGGCCCCGCTGTTTGCTCAGGCAGGAGGGGTTTGCTCGCGGGTTCACCTTGACGGGAGCAAACGGGGCAGCGGCAGGTAGACGGCACCTGCCCGCGCACCGCAGCCGGAGCTGTCCCGGCACCCCCGGGACCCCCCGGGCTGGGTGGTCGCAGCAGAGAAGCGGGAGGTGCAGGTACACACAGGGGGTGCCCGCGGTGGGGAGTGGGACGTGGAAACCCCCCGCTGCCAGCACAAGGTGACGGCACGGCCACCGTTCTGCGACGGGTCCCGCCCGGCTCTGGCGTGAGGAGGAAGCAGGCGGGGGCACGGCGCTGCGGGGGGACACAGCAAACTGGCCCAGGGGGCTACCAGGTGTCTTCTCTGGGGTGGTGGCCCCGCTCTCGGTGTCCTTGTCCCCCTGTCTCAGCACCCGGCGCGACGCCAGAGGCACCACCTGGGAGGAGCCGGGCAGGGGTCGGTCTGTGGGGTTGGTCATGGCCGAGCGGCGCGGGGGCATGGAGCCACGCTGGCCCCCGGGATGGGGACCCGGGGCTGGAATCCCCTCCCTGCCCGCTGCCGGGGCAGAGTTTGGCTCCTCCGCTCCGAGCCACCTTCCCTGGCCCTGCCCTGGAGCCACGCTCCGCACCGGAGCCTTCCGGGATTGCCGGGGCCCCACTGCTGTTGCTGCCTGTCCCTGCAGGCAGGGCTGGGCAAGGAGAAAACCCCGACCCTGGGGTGCAGCAGGTTGTGACCCCCCCCTGGCAGGGATCCCGGCACCTCCCCAGCTCCCACCCGCTTCCCAGTTCCTCTTCCTGTTTGCTTACTGGGCTCCCTCCCTGCCCCACTACACGCAGCTGATCCGGCGGCTCCTGGCGGTGCCACCAGCCTTTCCCCCGGGCTCAGCGATGCCCAAATCATCCCCTCCCGGCACCTGGGGGGCCTCCTACCCCAGCCCCATGCAGCCCCCCCGCATCTGCCATGAGCATCCCGGCAGGGACGGTCGGAGACCACCAAAGCCACGTTGGCAAACGTGGCACCCGGCGCTCCCGTTGGCACGGCCAGCCCGTGTCCCTTTGTCCATCCCAGGGACGGCAGGGCTGGGGGGCTGAGGGACCCCCCCAGAGGGAGTACGACCCCCACCTCCATTTCAGGGGCCGACAGCGATGGCCGACGGCCACGGCTGGTGGAAGCTGACCTTCCTGCGGAAACGCCGGTCGGTGCCCACGGTGCTGTACGAGAGCCCCGACAGCCACGCTGCCGCCGGCGGCGAGAGCCAGGAGGGGTCGGGCGAGGAGGGGCCGCCCGGCTTCGCCGCCCGCCTGGAGAAAATCGTGGACAAGAGCACCAAGGGCAAACACGTCAAGGTCTCCAACTCTGGACGCTTTAAGGAGAAGAAGAAAGTGCGGGCAACGCTCGCAGAGAACCCCAACCTCTGCGCTGCCAGCGAGCGGGAGGAGAAATGACCCGGCTGGTTGTCACCCCCCGGCCACTGCCACCAGCTGGCTCGGCTCCGTCCCCCCCCCAGGGCTGCGGAAGGAGAAAGGACTCGGACTGGAGTTTATTTAAGGGAGAAGCAAGGACCCTGTTTAATTGCAGCCCGCAGGCTTGCGGCACCCCAGGGACGGATGGGGAGCCCCCCGAAGCTGACTGGTTCATACTGGGATGAGGATGCTCACCCCAGCTTGGCCGCTTGCCGCAGACCACCAGAGCCCATCGTTCACCCAGCTCTGCCCCGAGCACGACGGCCCCGATCCTGACCCCCTCTTGCAGGGACGAAACCGGGGGACCCCCCCGTGCCTCTCCCAAGCTCAAGGGGCCACGTGGCCACGGGCAGAGCCACCCATGCCATGTCCTTGCCACCAGTCACCCCCAAACCAGGGGACATGACACATCCCTGCCCCGAGGGAACAACCCCATGGGCAAAGTCTCTGCTGAGGTGCCTCCGTGGGGAGCTTGGAGGGCTCCGGGCTTCCCAGGAGGAGCCGTATTCCCGCTCGCATCCAGGAATCGCTCCCTGCCCCCGGAAAGGGAGACCCGACCACGGAGCACGGTGCCAGAGCTGACGCCGAGGGCAGCTGCCACAGCCGATCTGGCAACCCCCGGTGTTAGTTCGGGTTGTTGGAAGCTGAGCCTTTAGTCGGCTCTTGCGACTGCTGATAATTAACTGCTGTTAATAAACCAGCTCTGGAAGCAACGGCAGCTCAGGGAGAGCTCAGTGGACCCCCCGGCCCCCCGCCTGGCAGGGTCACAGGGCTGTGGTTCCCTTCTGCCACCCCTGTGGGGAGCGACACCGGCTGCCACCAACGCAGGGACTCCCCGACCC